CTTTTGTGCAGTATATTCAATGATATTCAAGGCTGAATATTGATCAGTCTTTATTAATAATAATGCTTAACATGAAGTATGCTGCCTAAACAGTTAGGAATGAGAAGGTTACATCAAGATCATGGCGCGTGTATCAATCTAGCTTGACGTTCACCTAGAATTAACAAAGAATAATTTTGACGGTTAGTCATGTAGTGTCAGGTATTTACAAAAATGTAGAACTCTCATTTATGATTATGGAAATGTGTGTGCGGAAAAATTAACAGGTTGGTATTCCGTTCTAACTTCTGTTGGATACGAAAGTTCATAAGAACGGGATTTTCGTTTGGGCAGTCTAAGTCAAATATAAGTCAAATTGTGTTGCCAGTAATGTATTAAATAACTGGAATACAAATAATCTCTGCTGTAGCAATGACCAACCTGTTAGATATATCTTTAGTATACTGATGTGAATACTGCTACGAAGCTTGTTCACACTTATAGATCATATATTTTAATACCCACAGTCAGTCAATCAGCTACAACGTAGGACCAGGAACATATATGCATCGGTCCAAGTTGCCACACCCCACTCATTAGCACAACAAGATGAACACCAGATTCATAGAAGTAATCAATTCAATGATGGTAATTTATAAGAGAAAGATATGAAGCAATTTTAATCTCATAGTTTAAGGGAAGACAGAGAGTGTATACACCGACACCATTATAATCGATTCTCAGCCATGTCACACACACACACACACAGTCTCCAACCATTGGTTATGATAGTCACACGGACTCCAACAAAGTAGTCTGCATCTACCATCCACATGGCTCACACCACAAGTTAGTGACTTCTTGAAATGATACCACGTTGTGGTTTGGCCACCCCTAACATTCTTCCAACAATCGCCAACACTAATCAGCGTTGCTCGTCGTGGTAATCGGTGTTCAGGCAAGAATGCACAACACGTGACCCAACCATCTCAGTCGATGAAGATTCACAACCTCGTCAACTGATTTACCATCATTCTCTAATAACCTGAGTCCAACCTCAATATTACTTGCCCGGTGATCCCAGCAGATGTGAGCAATATTTCTAAGACATCTGTGATCAAATACTAGTAGTTTACGAGTATCTTCTGCTATTAATGGCCACGTTTTGCAGCCGTGAAGTAGAACATAACGAACTGCTGTGCAGTATACTCGTCCCTTAATTGATAGACGGATATCTCGCCTTCGCCATAGGTGACGTATGTTGGCAAAATCCAAACGAGCTTTTTAGATTTCGTTAGACACCCACCAATTTGGGCTGATCAGACTTCATGTTTAAGTGACTTTGTCAACGCGTTCGACTACTTCAATCCCTATCGTTATTTCATGTGTTGACGCAGGCCAGTTCTGAACATTTTAATACCCTAAAAATATTGTCATTAGTTTTCTTGTTCTAAGTTTATTTTAATTAAATAATTATCTTTGTTAACTACATGTACTCATTTACCTTTTAGAATAAGAACCTTAAAATTTAGTTCAAAGCTAACTTGTGCAATGTTCAAACAGAATTAACATTTATGTTTTCATATTCTTCTATTAATTTATCTTTTGAAAAGGAAAAATCATACATACCTTGTTTTATCTTAGATCAACTAATTCATTCTTTCTCCTTGAAATATACTATCTAGCCATACTGTTTTCTACTAACACTAATATTGTTGCTACTTTTATTATTCTGGTATTAGAGAACACAGAGCGTCCACCTAGGGGAGTTGGAAAACCATGACTCCAAACCAGTGGTGTAAATGGGCTTCAGGATCCTAAGGGAACAGATGGCGTATGAACCAATCGTTGGTCACCAGCTACCATGGGACCGCATCTCCTGACGTTGCTCCATCGCCTTGTGGATTAGACCTTTAGGTCTAAGGCTCTAAGTGCGGCTATCTAAGAAAACCACCTGGTTCGGTTTGGGCACCCAGGCAGTATCCCAGTTCACATACAAATCAAGTGACCTGTTTGGCGCATATGTATTCAGTGCCCCTTTGTATCAATATCCATGTGCTCAAGTAAATATATAATTACTATCAACGATATCGTTACTACTATTTTTGTTATTCCGGCATTCATTTTCTTAATTTCATCTTTCTCTGCTGATAAGGTTTGTCAACTTGAGCCAATACACATATATCTCGAGTTTCACATTGCTTATAACTAACTGATCGGTATATATATATCTCAATCAGTTAGTCATATATTTATACATTCATCAAATTGTGCTGTGAATTAAAAATTCATTTCATTTTTGTTTATTTGTTTCAGTGTCCTTATCACCATAGCAATAACTCGAATAATCTACCTAAGGATAAAAAATAATAATTCATATTCAATGTTCAATGAATCGATTATCAATACTTTTATTAATTAAACTCATTTTCTTTTAGTGCTGTACTTATTTAGTTAAATATTTCACTTAACAAAATAGAGCTTGTTTAAAATTTTTTAAAAATAATTTAGTTATGTTTATCAATAAATGTTACGTAACAATTTATAAGAACTGTTAACTAAGGGAAAAACAAGATTCTCCGATACAACACAACACGCACCAATCGAATCACACTTGACGATAAATCTTTCGAAGAAGTAAAAACCTTTACATATCTGGGCAGCATCATTGATGAACACAGTGGAACCGATGCAGATGTGAAGGCGCGAATCGGCAAAGCAAGAGCAGCATATCTACAACTGAAGAACACCTCGAACTCGAAACAACTATCTGTCAACCAACACCAAAGTCAGAAGTTTCAATATGAATGTGAAGACTGTTCTGCTGTATTGGACGGAAACTTGGAGAACTACGAATGCCATCATCCAGATGATACAAGTGTTCAATAATAGTTGTCTACGCAAAATACTTCCAATCCGTTGGCCAGACACTATGAGCAACAACCTACTGTGGGGGAGAACAAACCAGATTCCAGTGGAAGAAGAAATCAAGAAGAAGCACTGCAAGTAGATAGGGCACACACTAAGGGAAGTACTCAACTACGTCACAAGGCAAGCCCTCACTCGGAATCGTCAAGGCCAAAGAAGGAGAGGAAGACCAAAGAACACATTACGCCGAGAAATGGAGACAGACATGAGAAGAATGTACAACAATTGGATGGAAGTAGAAAAGAAGGCCCAGGACAGAGTGTATTGGGGAACGCTGGTCGGCGGCCTATTCTCTATTGGTAGTAACAAACGTAAGTAAGTAAGTGATAGTGACTTTTGAACTGAGGAGGAAACACGATTATTTGCTTTGTAAAATAATCATCCTTGGATATTTAGTTCATAGGATATTCATGGAGGATGAGAAATATTATTTAGATATTTAATAATTGTAACCGAGTTACATACAAGTTATTGCGATAAATTTTTTCGGGTCAAATTTACAATAGTTCGTATTTTCTTCAGTAGTATTTACTGTCATTTGTTTATGGACTGGGATGTCACTTGATTGAGAAAACCAAGCCAGGATGGGTCTTAGGAGACGACCACCAAAAGGCGGTGGAGAGACATCAGGAGATAGAGTCTCATGATTTTCGGTGACCAGAATGGGTTTTTATACCGTTCATTTGCTTAGTATCCTTAAACTCGTGTACAACGGTTGTTTGAAAACAAGATGTCACAATCCCATTAGGCAAATTCTTCGTATCTACTGGCCCGATTCAAACCGCGAACATCCATTTTTCATCATCACATCCCTAACCCATTGCCTAATGGACAGATGGGTACTGATTTTAAATAGCACATCTAGAATCCAGGTATATCCAAATGACGACTTCTAAATAGCCCGATAAATGAGTCTCGGATCCCACTTATAGTTACTGTAGTAAGCCCATTCAACTACTGTATTATATATCTGCTCACTGTAATTTAGACACTTAATCCACTATGTAAATTTCTGTGTGAGTATAATTGAGCACATGTCTGCACATCAATTTTCAATCTATTCTCCCATTGGTTGTAATACACAGACAATCAATAATTTATCCATGCTTGATTGACACTCAAAAATATATATGGATTATTAACACACATACACACTCTTGGTTTCACAGTGTGCTTGCTTCCTTTGCGCTTGCGGATTTTACCAATCTTTAACAATAAACTATCTCTGTAACTGGTGTTCAGGCTTTTGAATAATCTCGAGTAAATCCATAATCCTACTAGGAGATTTAGCCTGCATTAAATACTCACTTAACGGGATACTATTTATTGGAGTCAGATGTAGAAGAAATTAGCCTATACATTACCACCTAGAATGTTATCGAACAAGCGAAAATCAAATTTTACCTATGAAACATTCAGAGAAAAGATGTAGATTTAATTCTACCAATAAATCATTATTGCATTTCCATTGAAACACCTACCTTCAGTCAGTCAGCTACAACGTAAGACCAGGAACATATATGCATCGGTCCAAGTTGCCACACCTCACTCATTAGCATAACAAGATGAACACCGGATTAATAGAAGTAGTTAATTCAGTAGTGGTAATATACAAACGAAAGATTGCATATAAAGATATAATACAGGAAGGAAGAATCAGTTCGTAGAAAGAAAGATATGAAGCGATTTTAATCTTATAGTTTAAGGGAAGACAGAGAGTGTATACACCGACACCATTGTAATCGATTCTCAGCCATGTCACACACACACACACAGTCTCCAACCATTGGTTATGAGTCACGTGGACTCCAACACAGCAGTCTGCATCCACCATCCACATGGCTCAGACCAGAAGTTAATGACTTCTTGGATTGATACCACGTTTTTGGTTTGCCCTCCCCTACCTAACTCTAAACTGTTTACTTAATACGCCGACCACCTTATGAGCCTTAGCATTTGTTTAAATTTTGATTTCCTTTTCAGCCACTCAGTATTTTTCCCATTCCTCAAATATAATTCAGATGCATATATTTGTGTTTTAAAATCATTACTGGTAATGTATATCATATAATTGTATATAAAGGGTTTTTAAACTACTTCCTTGAAAACTTCACAGACGATATAGTTTCAGTTAAAGTTGGAGCTGGTTTCCATTCATCTAATTCACGTAATTCTTTACGTATTAATGTTAAATCTTGATTGAATTCCTGCTCAGTTGATTGTACTCTTTATAGTCCAAAAAGAGAATTCAAGAATAAAGAAATATTCATATGAGAATTAATTCATTATAATCATACTTTTATATACACTCAGTTACATGGTTGTAAATGGTACATGAAACGTCATACTATTCTACATAAAAATATAGGAATCGATGAACATGAACTGTTGTGTATGCTACTTATGCTTGTAGATATAAGTAGTATGTAACATTAATCGGATGTGTAATGCCTAGCAGCAGAAAATATGTGAATGATATATTCAATGTGTGATTTTCATATTTTCATAGGTCTACTATATGATTTTGCATTCAAAAGTGTGGTTGTTTTTCCCCCAACTGAGCTCTCATTCACTACACTACTGGTTTTCTTAAATCACCAGTGTCATATAATTAAAAGACCGGAGTCAGATAAGGCTGATTACTCTCCCCCTCCCTATTTCTTCTGCTGGTTGACTGGACTATGAAGACTTCGACATCTGAGACGAAACACAGAATACAATGGACAGCTCAGAAACAATTAGACGATTTGGACTTCGCAGATGACCTAGCCCTCCTATCTTATACGCACGAACAAATGCAGATGAAGACAACTAGTGTAGAAACAGCCTCTGCATCAGTAGACCTCAACATACACAAAAGAAAAAGGAAGATCCTCAAATACAAAACGGAAAACACCAATGCAATCACATTTGATGGAGAAACTCTGAATGATGTGGAATCTTTCACGTATCTGAGATGCATCATCGATGAACGTGGATGATCTGATGCAGACATGAAGCTGATGATTGGCAAAGCAAGGGCAACATTCCCACTATTGAAGAACATGTGGAACTCAAAACAACTGTCAATCAACATCAAAGTGACAATCTTCAGCACGAAATTCAAGACAGTTCAACTTGGAGAACTACCACAACCATCATCAAATCGGTACAAGTATTTAGAAACAATAGTCCACACACGATACTCAATGTCCATTGATCGGATACTATTAGGTACAGCCTACTGTGGGTGATAATAAAACCAACTTCTGGCTGAAGAGGAAATGAGGAAAAGACTCTGGATGTGGATAGGACATACATTACGGAAATCATCAAACTGCATCAGGAGGCAAGCGCTAACTTGGAGTTGTGGAGGGAAATGGAAGAGAGGAAGACCAAAGAACACACTGTGTCGGGAATGGGAAGCAGACATGGAAAGAATGAATAGTAACTGGAAACAACCGAAAAGGATTGTCCAGAACAGAGTTGGATGGAGAATTCTGGTGAGCGGCCTGTGCTCCTCCACAACGGGTAACAGGCGTAAGTAAGTCATATAATTAAACTAACGTTATTTCTAAACGTTAGAAATAAATAAGTAAAAAAGTAGGGTACATTCAAGTACACCAACTTACATTGGACTAACTGGAAATCTTGGAACTTCGATTTGTTTTGGAATGTGTGTCATTAAACTGAAAGGAAAATAGAAACACTTAAGATGTATATATAAACAGTTAATTGTTTTAAACATTAGATTTCTGGAGATTGTTTCAATTTGTTTTAATCATGAACTGATTTTGGTTAGATAATCATAGTAAACAAGGAATCATTGGAAAGTTGTTTCCTTCTGTTATAGGACTCCACAGAGTCACCTATATATATATTATGCTAGTTAAAAACTAAATGAAAACATATACAGTCATAATAATCAGTAAGTTAATATAAGCTACTGTTGGTAGCCATAATGCTTAGGTCATTTTATGAAAATTTGTTTCTTTATTCTCTATTAGTTTACAACTAACTGGAGTATGTCCTAACTTATTAGATCATTTGATTTTGTTCATATTATATATGACTTTGGCCATCAGTCTTTCTTTTTAGTCCGATTGAAGTCAGTTTTGTGTCCTGTGTTCAGTCAATGCGATGCTATGAATAATCTATTTTTCAGTTTTTTAAGGTACAAAGGAGCACCGAATACATATGAACCACATAAATCATTAGATTTGTGTATGGCCTGGGATACTGGAAGGGTGCGCAAACCGAAGCAGGTGGTTTTCTTAGGGTACCACACCCAAAGCCTTGGACCTAAAGGTCTAATCCATAAGGCAGTGGAGTAACGTAACGAGATACAATCTCATGGTAACCGGTGATCAACAATTGGTTCATACACCATTTGTTCCTTCAGGATACTGGAGTCAGCCCGTGTGCACTACTGGTTTGGGATCAGGGTTTCCCAACTCACATAGGTGGATCCTCCATATCCACCAACCCAGTTAAAGCTCCGGTCATTCGCCATTCGTCCTCTCAATTTTGTAAACAACAGTAATGCCACGAGAAGGCAGTGAGTAGGACTTCCCTGTCAGTGGTTGTATGCATGTGGCCATGTGAGAGCATTTGGAATGATAGAGCTGACTGTTCTCTTGCTCGGCCGTTTCAGGGTATTTGGGGGCTCGATCTCCTGAGGATTCGATAATAACTTTTAGTTATTTTTCCTATATTTCACTATCTCGATAATTTCCCTTTAAATGTTCACATTCATATTCAGTACACTGAATTTCGTAGACGGTATTTTGTTATTCATCTTTTGACAGAATTATAAACAGTAGTTTCCGACCTAGATTGATATTATTTAGAGTACCATTTAAAACCATGGAGTGTATGTATGATGTTTTTTTATAGTATAGAAGTGTTTTTTGCAGTGTAAGGTTACCACTCACGACTATCAAGTATGCAGAGTTCTCTTAACTTATAAACCACTTAGTTAGAACCCTATGGTCTCCATCATTTCCTGATACAACACAATATTCATTCACTGTCATAAGATTTCATTGAATAACTTACCCAAATTGAACTTTTGGAACAGATGAATTAATTTTATAAAAGTTTGGTGAATATTCTACAGAACCATAACTTTTATCTCCTGGTTTCATTGCATTAAATATACCATTATGTTGGTCTATAATATCCCCTAAGTATTCATTGAAAATTAAAGAAAAAACAAGACAAAAACAAAACAAGTAGCAATACATGTCTGAATGTGATGGGTAATATTACAAATAGCAATTCAACTTCATTACTCGTTTTCTAAACATTATTCCCAAACTTAATCAGTACTACTTAATGTGATAAGCAACTCAGATGATGTTTAGTAAGGATTTTGTAAATAAATAACATTTTTGTTAGTAGTTAACAGTTGAATTTAAGACATACAATTCATCTTAATTAAGCAGCTGTTGGCAAGATGTATATGTATTTACAACGAAACCTGGATTCAGTATTTATCGATTCAAATAAGAGGAAGTTATCCACCAGTTATTTACTCAACAAGTACAAATATGAACAAGGTCTCATCATGTGGCTAGCTGTGGAGCCTAGGATGTGCGTTTCATCCTATTTGAGACTTGTCAACTGGATGTACCTGCATGTGATTCCACTGCTAGCCACTATCCATCTTTGCTTAAAAAGCTTGTGAATTTAGGCAATATCGAGACAGTCCGCACAGGATGCACATATGCCAAGATGAGACTGATCAATTTCAGTCCTAAATAACAATGGGAAAATACAATTAAAAGAACACCAAGTGAATATATATGTATAACCCGATGGTGTTTATGTTCTATGAAATCCATATGATTGAAATTCATGGGATGCATTTTGTGAATAAACGCTCGATCCCGACATCTTAATCATCGCAATACTTCATTAACTGGCTGTACTATTGTGACAGAACACAGTTCATACTAATTGAGCAATGATATTCGCAACAAAAAATAACCTAACTATCTATAAAAAGATTTTATGAAGGTTTGAAATTGTTAATCATTTTGAGAGATAAAATTCTGCGTAATCTAAATATATTCTCTAGAAGAAATATTATATCTAATAAGGTATTTTCTTATAAGGACCCATACAACATAGGCTTGTATCAACAACAGTGACTTCTACACGAGCGAGGATCGAAAGGGTAGTGTAATATTGTAATTCAGATGTGAATGTCATTTGTAATTACAAATTTTAATAAAACAGTATAGTGTGTAATTTTGGGAATTCAAATTGTCCGCTTATTTTGCATAAATAGTTTAGTGTTATTCTTTACAATGATCTTATACGACCAGTTTTATGTGGGCCACTATTAATTTGTCATTCTTTTGTGTGGTTTTACTGGGTTTCTGAAACAAACTACTTAATAAGCAAAGGTGGATAGTGGCTAGCAGTGGAATCCAGGATGCACGTTTCGTTCTATTTCGGACCCGTCAACTGTGTGTACCTGCATCTCAGGTTTTATGTTTACTTGGGGACTAGAACCCAGTACCATTCGATTTAAACGCCATCACGTAATCCACTTAGCTACTGAGTCCTGATAGTCACTTGCTTGTGCAATGGGATGAAGTTTAAATTCACTTGGTGTTGTTTTACTTGAATCTTCAAATTGATGTTTAGGAATGTAATTGATCAGTGAATTAAGGCAATATCGAGGCAATACACAGAGTTTGCGCATATGCTAATAAGAGACTGACGATCAATTGCAGTCCTAAACATCAATGGGACTATTCAAGTAATACAATACCAAGTAAATTTAAACTACTCTATTTTTTAGTCAAATAATGTATTCCGAAATGTAAACTCATAGTATGCAAAGGATTTTAGGAAAATGTGATTTATTTGCGCTATACATTTCAACCAATCTAGTCAAGTCATTTTAATTATATGAAGATTCAATTAAACAATGCTCACTGCTGAGGAGTCCCACAATAGGACGAAACGGCAGTTGAAATGCAATACTTGTAAATAAACGAGAAATGAAACAATAATATCGTATGAAAAGAATAAGAAATTATCACCTTAACAAATATATGTAACCAACCAGATAGTTCGAAATGTATGACACAAATAAGTCACTTTTTTTTCAGATCATTTCCATCTTCGTATCGTTTTTTCGAGTTATAATAAAAGGGACTTATTGCTTTAAAGGTTGTTTTTACTTGAGGGAAACACGTTTAGTGTTACCCATCATAATAAAATAACTTTTATTCAAGTGACAACACTACTAAAACGCACTCATTAGAAATACAAATATTCTCCCTTGTTTTAAAAAATATAGATATAAAATCAAAACTTACTTTGCCTTTTATGCGTGAATCCATCATATAGACTATATTCTGATGTACAATAAACACTACGTTGATGTATTCCATTGAATAAACATTTCTTTCCAGTAGTATATCCATCCGTATAGATTGACCATTCTGGACTCATTCCATGACATTTTAATTCTGTCAATTATAATTTGATTAATAGATTCATTACCTGGATATGTTCTTAAATGACTTGAATGTTCTGGCCAAATATTTTCATCTTTCCTATTTTCATCTTTATACGCTTCAATATAACGCAATTTTGATGACCAATCTAATCCATAACTATAGTTGGTATTATGTATATCATGATTGATTTAAACAATAATGGATCATACTCTGAATAAATTGGATTTAATGCTAAATTATGTGGCCGCCAATTTAAATCATCTTTTATACAATAACCATGTGGAATAATTCGTTTATATGGGAAAATTTTTATTTCTTCTGTACTACATTTATTTGTATTGAGATAGAGTCGTCTCCCAGGAACTAAATAAATTATCAGTATAGGGTTGTGGAGATTATTAAATTATTGATTGAGATCATGAATCGATTGATGTTAGACTACTATTGAAAACCTGAAAGCACTGGACAGCTGCTTTGTCCTATTTTGGGACTCCTCAACCATATGCATCCACGATCCCGTTTGCGGGATTGGAACCCAGGGCCTCCAGTGTCGCAGATTGGTTAAGGTTAGACATTAACATCGTTGGATGCCAGCCAGCCCAGTGGTCTAGAGGTTAGGCGTTCGCGCGCGAAAATGATAGGTCCTAGGTTTGAATCTCGCAGGGCGGCGGGATCGTGGATGCGCACTGTTGAGGAGTCCCACAATTGGACGAATCGGCCATCCAGTACTTTCAGGTTCTCCATGGTGGTCTAACATCAATTGATTGATGATCTCAATCAAGAACTAAATAAATTACTATTATTATTAAAATGAGATTATTTACATGATGGCATAAATAGAATATGATGGTACTCTAAATTATTAGTTAAATATTTGAAATATTAAAACAACATATAATTTAGGTCATATCCAATAGCAACATAACCAGAAAGCTTAACCATTTAAACAAAGAAAAGTAAATAAATGAGTAATTTAATACAACCAGATCACTTGAAAAATCTATGTAATGCAGGAATAATAAGATTTGCAGAAGAAATGTAATTCATCAATCTATTTCACGGTTTCTCATCAGCTGCATAAGAGCTAAAACTATGGTTAATAACAAATTTTTAACATACTTTAGCTTGTGAAGTTTAGATAAAAGTTCGAAACACAACCGAAATCATAATACTAAGAGGAATAGGAATACAAACTGTTTATGAATAAACATACTTAAGATCGATATGTATTTATATTTCTTACTTACGCCTTTTACCTTTCATAGAGGAATATAAGTCACCAATAGCTCTTCTATGATTACTGTCAGTTCAAAGCCAGAGTGACGAATGAGTGTTAAAATCGGGTTAGCAGCCCCATCCCGTAGAAGACAACCTTCTTAAAAAAACGCTAACCAGAATGAATATTTTAAACTATTTAAAGTCTGACCTCCGAGTTGAAGGATCTTCATTCAGAAGAATTATGAGGTCTCATAATGAAATCTGAGATTCTCTGGAAGTTACGAGACCGATGCCTATTCTAACAACCAGAGCGATCGTTAATATAGGTGCATGGAATGTACTTATCAGTGGAAAAGTAATAATACAGAGTAAAACAGTTGTTATATTTACCAGTAATCATTAATCAAGATAAGAGAGGTAATGTAAAGGTAAAGAAATGAATATGTGACTGGTTAATCACTTAATAAAATAAATAAATATGTGAACATTGATAAGATTATGTAAGAGATAACTAACAATACACAAAATAAAAATAAAAAGTTGGGGATAAGGTTGAAAAAACAGAAAATTAAAATGAATAAAGACTATTAAATGGACATTCAATCACCATGACATGGAAAGCCTAATCACACTTTAGAGGCCAGGTCGCAAACCTTTGATAAAGATTTCCCCTTGCAAAATGGAGTAAGATCAGTGTCTTCTTTTATCTGTTAATTATTTTGATTCCATTACTTACATTCACTTTATGTTTTCTATCCAAAAGATGTTTGGCAATTTAACTTGTAAAGACTTCACTCTCCTTTTAAATCTTATGTTTCTTCTAATACACTTTTCAGAAAATCTTCACATTCCATTATTCATTTGATACGGTTTGATAAAAGTGGATTATCATCGTTTGAACTGTCTATGATTCTGACGATTTACTGAAAGAGAGATAGACAGAGAAAGAGAGAGAGAGCTATCAAAGTGTTGAATACAAAGGGCGAAACTAATCCAACCAAGTTCTACGGAGTTTTTGTTCAATTATTAGTCACCTTCCAGTAGTATAACTTGTTAACAAAGAGGTTGTTGGAAAATCACAACTCATGGTATTTTATCAAAGTCTAAAATAGATCAATGTAGAAAAATTAATTATTAAGGGGTTTTTGAACTATAAATTCACTTAGTAATGTTTACTTGAATCTTCCTATTGATGTTTAGGTCTGCAATTGATCAGTTTTTTATTGACATATATGCATACTGTGAGTAATGCATTGATATTGTCTTAATTCACAAACAAGTTGTTATCAGGACTCATTAGCTAATTGGGTAACACGATGGGGTTCGGAGCGAATAGTACTGAATTCGAGACCCAGAGTGAACATCAACTCTGAGATTCAGGTACACCCAGCTGACGAATGATCAATATTATACTTTCGTAAGTGAATAATAATTTGAGAGAGCTAAAGAAAGAACAATTATTTGGAGGTTAATTTTGTGGTTAATAATCTTTAATAAAATAGGAGGCTTTTGTGTCGCTTAAAAAACTGCAATATGACAGTTTATGACTTAAATAAAAATGCGTTGCATAACTTTACAAAATTATCAACATTAAAATGGGATTGTATCATAAACTGATCATGAAGACGTTAGTGTCCTAGGTAGTTTGTATATGATTAATTAGATATTACCAAATTTCTTAGCACGAATTGATTGTTAAGATGGATGACCTTACTTACTAAATTAATTAAGTCTGTTACCCGTAGTGGAGGAGCACAGGCCGCTCACCAGAATTCTCCATCCAACTCTGTTCTGGACAATCCTTTTCGGTTGTTTCCAGTTACTATTCATTCTTTCCATGTCTGCTTCCCATTCCCAACACAGTGTGTTCTTTGGTCTTCCTCTCTTCCATTTCCCTCCACAACTCCAAGTTAGCGCTTGCCTCCTGATGCAGTTTGATGATTTCCGTAATGTATGTCCTATCCACATCCAGAGTCTTTTCCTCATTTCCTCTTCAGCCAGAAGTTGGTTTTATTATCACCCACAGTAGGCTGTACCTAATAGTATCCGATCAATGGACATTGAGTATCGTGTGTGGACTATTGTTTCTAAATACTTGTACCGATTTGATGATGGTTGTGGTAGTTCTCCAAGTTGAACTGTCTTGAATTTCGTGCTGAAGATTGTCACTTTGATGTTGATTGACAGTTGTTTTGAGTTCCACATGTTCTTCAATAGTGGGAATGTTGCCCTTGCTTTGCCAATCATCAGCTTCATGTCTGCATCAGATCATCCACGTTCATCGATGATGCATCTCAGATACGTGAAAGATTCCACATCATTCAGAGTTTCTCCATCAAATGTGATTGCATTGGTGTTTTCCGTTTTGTATTTGAGGATCTTCCTTTTTCTTTTGTGTATGTTGAGGTCTACTGATGCAGAGGCTGTTTCTACACTAGTTGTCTTCATCTGCATTTGTTCGTGCGTATAAGATAGGAGGGCTAGGTCATCTGCGAAGTCCAAATCGTCTAATTGTTTCTGAGCTGTCCATTGTATTCTGTGTTTCGTCTCAGATGTCGAAGTCTTCATAGTCCAGTCAACCAGCAGAAGAAATAGGGAGGGGGAGAGTAATCAGCCTTATCTGACTCCGGTCTTTTAATTATATGACACTGGTGATTTAAGAAAACCAGTAGTGTAGTGAATGAGAGCTCAGTTGGGGGAAAAACAACCACACTTTTGAATGCAAAATCATATAGTAGACCTATGAAAATATGAAAATCACACATTGAATATATCATTCACATATTTTCTGCTGCTAGGCATTACACATCCGATTAATGTTACATACTACTTATATCTACAAGCATAAGTAGCATACACAACAGTTCATGTTCATCGATTCCTATATTTTTATGTAGAATAGTATGACGTTTCATGTACCATTTACAACCATGTAACTGAGTGTATATAAAAGTATGATTATAATGAATTAATTCTCATATGAATATTTCTTTATTCTTGAATTCTCTTTTTGGACTATAAAGAGTACAATCAACTGAGCAGGAATTCAATCAAGATTTAACATTAATACGTAAAGAATTACGTGAATTAGATGAATGGAAACCAGCTCCAACTTTAACTGAAACTATATCGTCTGTGAAGTTTTCAAGGAAGTAGTTTAAAAACCCTTTATATACAATTATATGATATACATTACCAGTAATGATTTTAAAACACAAATATATGCATCTGAATTATATTTGAGGAATGGGAAAAATACTGAGTGGCTGAAAAGGAAATCAAAATTTAAACAAATGCTAAGGCTCATAAGGTGGTCGGCGTATTAAGTAAACAGTTTAGAGTTAGGTAGGGGAGGGCAAACCAAAAACGTGGTATCAATCCAAGAAGTCATTAACTTCTGGTCTGAGCCATGTGGATGGTGGATGCAGACTGCTGTGTTGGAGTCCACGTGACTCATAACCAATGGTTGGAGACTGTGTGTGTGTGTGTGACATGGCTGAGAATCGATTACAATGGTGTCGGTGTATACACTCTCTGTCTTCCCTTAAACTATAAGATTAAAATCGCTTCATATCTTTCTTTCTACGAACTGATTCTTCCTTCCTGTATTATATCTTTATATGCAATCTTTCGTTTGTATATTACCACTACTGAATTAACTACTTCTATTAATCCGGTGTTCATCTTGTTATGCTAATGAGTGAGGTGTGGCAACTTGGACCGATGCATATATGTTCCTGGTCTTACGTTGTAGCTGACTGACTGAAGGTAGGTGTTTCAATGGAAATGCAATAATGATTTATTGGTAGAATTAAATCTACATCTTTTCTCTGAATGTTTCATAGGTAAAATTTGATTTTCGCTTGTTCGATAACATTCTAGGTGGTAATGTATAGGCTAATTTCTTCTACATCTGACTCCAATAAATAGTATCCCGTTAAGTGAGTATTTAATGCAGGCTAAATCTCCTAGTAGGATTATGGATTTACTCGAGATTATTCAAAAGCCTGAACACCAGTTACAGAGATAGTTTATTGTTAAAGATTGGTAAAATCCGCAAGCGCAAAGGAAGCAAGCACACTGTGAAACCAAGAGTGTGTATGTGTGTTAATAATCCATATATATTTTTGAGTGTCAATCAAGCATGGATAAATTATTGATTGTCTGTGTATTACAACCAATGGGAGAATAGATTGAAAATTGATGTGCAGACATGTGCTCAATTATACTCACACAGAAATTTACATAGTGGATTAAGTGTCTAAATTACAGTGAGCAGATATATAATACAGTAGTTGAATGGGCTTACTACAGTAACTATAAGTGGGATCCGAGACTCATTTATCGGGCTATTTAGAAGTCGTCATTTGGATATACCTGGATTCTAGATGTGCTATTTAAAATCAGTACCCATCTGTCCATTAGGCAATGGGTTAGGGATGTGATGATGAAAAATGGATGTTCGCGGTTTGAATCGGGCCAGTAGATACGAAGAATTTGCCTAATGGGATTGTGACATCTTGTTTTCAAACAACCGTTGTACACGAGTTTAAGGATACTAAGCAAATGAACGGTATAAAAACCCATTCCGGTCACCGAAAATCATGAGACTCTAT